TTTAATAGTAAGTATAAGCCAAACTTTCTGCTGCTAAAGAGCACTGGTATGATGCTGTAGGGTAAACATTAGATTACAAAGTTGGTTTGAACCACATACTTGGGTATTCAAAGTTACCAGCCAACCCCACCCCCTTGGTATACAGACAGGGTTCACAGGAATGGGCAATTTAGACATTAGCTACCCAAAATGGAGGCTACAAAGGCAGGAAGCCTTTACAAGCTTTTAAGAGGGAGCCTAGTTTCAGAGGGTGCGGGGGAAGGTAGAATCTCCACTGAGTGGTTTCCAACCTGTCTGGACGGGGCTGGTGAAAGGAGATGGGGACAAGACTCTGGGTTGCTATGAGTCAGAACCAATTCAACAGCACTTTACAACAACAACAACAAGAATGTTTTGGAGTCCTGGTGTGGTGCTGTAGGAAAAACACTGAACTGCCAAACAAAGTTTGGTAGTTCAAACCCACCAGTGACTGCTTGGAAACCTTATATATGGTTAATGATAATAAAAGCAGCAGAGAGTTTTTAGACATGAAAAGGAAAAGCATAGCCTCCTGGTGAATTTCAAGTAGCAGCCTTTAAGGGAAACAGGGAAGGAAGAAAAAGGAGTCTGGTGATGGATAAAAAGCAAACTCTATGCATAATGTTTACAATTGTTACAATTAAGTATTACAAACTGCTCATCATTATCATTTTATACAAATTGGAGTGCTGATTTCAATTACATTATATCTGGGTTACAGAAGGCAGAGAAAATGAAATAACTTTATCATTCAGTTCTGGCTTCCATTCAGAAAGTTGGAAAAAAAAAAAAAAGCCAAAAAACACATACCGCTGGGTTCTCAAGGGAATCAGCAGGTTTAAAAGATCTATTTGAAGTCTGCTGAGAAAGGTGAGAATTTGGAGATCTCCTGTTACTGCTCTCCACACCCAAAACAACTGTGGTGAGTTTTCCAAACTTTAATAAGGACACAGGGAAATATTGGATGGAAACTCTGGTAACACCTTATGGTCTTCTAATTGAGGTAGGAAAAGCAACACTATTGATTTTAAAAGCTTATTTTCCTGAAAATTAGCAAATTGAAAAAGTCCAAAAATGAAGTTTATACAAACATATTACAACAATGGGTAAATTAAGGAAATTCAGTTTCTCAATCGAAATGTTAGTATTGTGAGTAAATGCACTGGAGTGCAAAGTCAGTTAAAACCGCAAGGTCTGCAGTTCAAGCTCACCAGCTGCTCCTCAGAAACTCTATACAGGGTCACTATGAGTCTGAACTGACTAGAAGGTGCTTAACAACTACAACAACATGTAGGTATTTGGTGAGACAACTGTGAGACATTTCTTCAAATAATTCCTTTTAACACTTTGTATAACAGGCAGAGCATGGATATGTTTTCAGTGTCATTTATGGTCTTTCCCCAATGCTCCAGTCTGCCCCTTAACATTTAGAAATGTTTAGATACAACATAACAGAGTGGATTAGAAACCCTAAATGTTCCTGACTCAGATCTCTATCACATTAATTAAGTACTTCGAGTCTTATTTTTTCCTATAGAAATTGAACTAAAATACTAAAAGCTAAAAATGTCTGAATAAAATGAATAAAATGTAATGGTGATTTCTAACATCATAAAAAAATAAACAATTAAAGTTGTTTATTTTTTTCTTCCTTCCCTGTTGTAAGGTAATTCACTGCTTATACAGACTTGACATACAAAAATATTGAATGAACGAAAGTAAAATTAAGTATGGGAAGTAAGGCTCCTTATCATTTTAACAATTCAAGAAAAAAAGACGACAAAAAGAATGACATGTAGAGGAAGAAACTATGGTAGAAGTAACACAATTGTTCTCACAGAGTTGCTAAAAATCTATTTTCTTTTATTTGTTTTTATCTAGAGAGAGAGTTTTTTTTATAAAGTTAGTGAGATTCAATTTACATTAACCTTATGCTTCACTTATAGAGAGTAAGATTGTTGTTGTTAGGTGCCATCCTTAAATTTGGAAGCTAGAACAAACATTTTACTTAATTTAATATCTATTTTGATTCCAAATCTAAAATCACTAGCCCATTTCAGAAAGTAAAACATAGAAATGGAATGCCCAAATGCCAGGGACATTATTCAGGGAAGAGAAGTGTGGAAAGTAGAATAATCCTGAAGTGTCTGAGCTCTCAAAATGATAAGGAAGGCAGAACAGTGTCTTTGTGGACCATGTTGTGCTAGTTGACCTTGATGTCTCCTGAGACTACCTTCCTGCACCTCCAAGGCAAGTAACTCATTTCCTCAAAATGTGTTCATGACTTTGCCCCCTATATGTTCTAGTATTTTCATAAATACATTTGCCACAACTCTGAAAGGGATCACAAGAGGAGGTCCTGGATAGAGTGGGAGAAAATGTGGAATGAAATTCATAAAATCATAAAAAATACTAGGTTTATGGTCTGAGAGGAGACTTGTAGAATCCTGAAGACTATGGTTCTTAGACACATTTCAGCCCTGGAACTGAATTACTTCCCATGACTTAACTTTCAGCCAAAAGATAAACAAGTCTGTAAAGTGAAAGGGAGGTAAACACTGTCCTCAAAAGAATCAGTCATGCAATATCATGATTATCAAAAGAAAAAAAAAAAAAAAGAATCAATCATGCAAGATCAAAAGGCCAGCATTTGCCCTGGGATAAAACTTAAAATGCAGCAAGGATTGGAAAAAGGACAAATGGAAACAGTAAACTCAGGGAGAACGTGAGAAGAGTGTTGTTCCATTACAGAGATTTAGATCTATGTCACAAAACATGTATGAATAGTTACTATGTAAATGTTTATTCAAATTGCAATAAAATGTTTTATTAAATGAAATAGAATGGTTAGGGATTGCTGATCTCAAGATTTAGGATTCTCCTAGTAATCAATTATAAGGATTATATTAAGATGTATATAAAAATTGACCAACTGTCATATGGTTCAATATAAAGTCCCTAAAGACCCTTCAGGAGTCCTGGTGTGGCACTGTGGGTTAATGTGCCAGAAGGCAAAGCCATTTGAACTACAAGGTCGGTGGTTCGGGCTCACCAGTAGCTCCTTGGAAACCCTATACAGGGTCACTATGGGTCAGAACCAACTCGATGGCTCTTAACAACAACAGCAAAGACCCTTCACAGTAGTTTTTACAGTTTTTGCCTAGAACTCACAGATGGAAGAAGAAAATCAAGTACTATGAGGAACTCATCAGCCCTCATAACTGAAAAGGAACTTGGTGGCGCAGTGTTTAAGGACTTCACTGCTAACTGAAAGATTAGAATCCACCAGTAGCTATCCAGGAAAATCTGTATCTGTTGGCTTCTCTAAAATCAACTTCAGTCTTGGAATCTCTTTGGGGAAGTTCTACTCTGTCCTTAAGAGTCCATGTGAGTCCAATAATGATAAGAAGTCTTTTTTTGTTTTTTAAATGATAAAGATTGGATAGAGAGCACCAACCTTGATATTGAGGACTCTCCCAGTTAAAATTTGTAAGATGAATTACTAAGACAAAAACAAATTGTATGAGATGTCATGTGGTGTAATATAAAACCAGAGAAGACTCTGATGCAGGAGTGTTTACAAATGTTGCCTAGAACTCACAGAGATGAACGTAAAAAATCAAGGACTATGAGGGATTCATTGTGAAGTGTTGCATCAGCTCTTATAACTGTAAAGAGGCTGTGGTAATGCAGCATTTAATCATTTTGAAACTAACCAAAACATTTGAACCCACCAGTTACTCCCAGGAATAAGACGTGGCAGTCAACTTCCATAAATAATTCAGTCTTGAAAACCCTCTGAGGTAGTTCTGCTCCATCCTATAGAGTCATCATTAGTCCAAATTGACAGAAAGGCAGTAAGTCTGGTTTTCAGTACCTTAATGAAGGTGTCTTGATTATTTTCCTTACACCAAATCCCCCCAAAAGTACTGTACTATGAACCAAAGTTTGCTTTTCCCATACTCAGAAATATTTATCAGTTTATTCTTTGTGAGATTCTCTTTTGATGTTTCCAATAAAGGCAAGAGAAGGGGAATGAAAAGAAGATTCAAAGAGAAAGTTTATTTAGATTTCAAAAAATGTTCCAGGAAATTAAACACTGAATCTGAAAGTGACATATAAGTATTTCTTTTGCAAAAGTGATTTTATTCTTCATTACAACAAGATTTTCATTACATAAGATGTTAATTGGAAGAGTGGTAATAGGACACAATCTGGCCTTTTGTCTCCACAGTCATAGTGGCTTTCCTTAGGATCAAAGTATTTAGCAAGAGGTGATCGATGCATGGATGGGATGGTAACTATGGCAATGAGACGATGTATGATGGAATGAATGTAAAACTAATGTTCCCCCATGTAGACTATCACACAATACACACTAAAACATTAAAATAAAAAGAAGAAAGAAAGAAAGAACCTTAGCGATTACCCAGTCCAAACAACTAATCCATTATTTCAATTCCCAGTACTCTATTTTCTCTAAAGAACTATTAGTTCTATCTGCTAAAATAGGATAGTATAGTATGCAGAAATACAACTCATTCAGTTTTTAGCAATCTGTTATCAACAGCTGATCACTGCTTTTGTATTTTGTTTGATAATTAAACAAACAAATGAGTTGGGATTTTAAGGTTGGACAAATGTAACTATTTTTCGGTGACAGGACCAGTTACTTTAGCACAACGGAATCACCTTTATCTACTGGTTTACTACTGTAGGCTTTGAGATATATGTTTGGATTGCAAACATCTAGGACATAGTTAATACATGTTGTTGGTGTTAGCTGCCATCAAGTCGGTACAGACTCATAGTGACCATATGCACAACAGAACGAAGCACTACTGATACATGGCTGGTGCTTAATAAGTAATAAATAAGTGCTTTAAAAACAATAAGAATAAATAAAAGGCAATAATATTTTTCTACTGTATTTTTTCATATTCTTCATTTTTCTAGCTGCCACTACAATTCATTTCTTCAGAATGATCATGGCAAATATAACTACAATGAATGGATTCCTCCTCATGGGGTTTTCTGACATTCGAGAGCTACAGATTTTACATGGTTTGCTGTTCTTGGCAGTGTACCTGTTAACTTTAGCAGGTAACCTCATCATTGTCATCGTCACAACTGTAGACCAGCATCTCCAAGCACCAATGTATTACTTCTTAAAACATCTTTCCTTCCTGGACCTTTCCTTCATTTCTGTCACGGTTCCACAATCCATTAACAATTCTCTGATGGATATTGGTTATATTTCTCAAGGTCAGTGCATACTTCAGGTTTTCTTTTTCACATCTTTGGGTTGGTCTGAGTTTTCCATTCTCACTGTGATGTCTTATGATCGTTATGCAGCCATCTGCTTCCCACTGCACTACGAGGTCATCATGAATCCTAATAAGTGCAAATGGGCTGTGATAGTTGTATGGCTAAGTGGAAGCATCTGTGGAATCTTGTACATAACAACCACATTCTCCATCACATTCTGTAAGGACAAAATAATTCACCAGTTCTTCTGTGATGTCTCCCAGTTGCTAAAGCTCTCCTGCTCCAATGATTACCTTGGAGTGATTGGAGTGGCAATTTTCATATCTGTGATGGCATTCATGTGCTTCACATCCATTGTCTTCTCCTATATCCACATCTTCTCCACAGTTCTAAGAATCCCCTCTGCTGAAGGCAGGTCCAAGGCCTTCTCTACCTGCCTGCCTCACCTCTTTGTTGTCTCCTTTTATCTCTCCACAGGTGCTTTTGCATTTCTAAAACCAACTTCAGATTCTCCAACTGCTTTTGACCTTATGATTTCTATCTTTTATACAGTCATTCCCCCATCACTCAACCCTATTATCTACAGCCTAAGGAGTGAAGCCATGAAGAAAGCTTTCAGAAAACTACTGTTGGGGGAACAAATCACCAGGAAACAAACATTTTTGCCCTGTTGTTGATAAATCTTTCATATTACATGTAAGCAAAATGATAAATAACATTGAGTTCATTCAATAAATGGTATTGATGAAAAGCAGTAAAAAATGTTCCCTGCAGCTTAATCATACAATACAACCAGTAGGGAAACTCTTCATATAATTCCTACCTTTTAATAATTGAAACCTTTTGTTCCTTATTTCAAATTAAGATATAACAAACAATTATAAATGTTTACTATATGCTTACCACTCTCCTTTCCCTTCTAATACATAAAGGCACAAACATATAAAGAGGTATATGAAGAAACATAGAAGGAATTTTTTTTTCTTATTCTAAATAGGCAATATTACAACTGAAAAGGAAATTAAAAGTAACAAATTACCAATAATGTCACCATAATAACAAAATTTTTACTTCAATTGTTTAATTCATATGTCCATTTTAATTCTTATTTTTCCACATCACAATTTTTTATATTGATAAAAAATTATATACCATTACAATATTGATATAAAATTATATACCGTTACTGTGCACAAGTATGCAATTTTACTTTAAATTTTTCATATATGCATGGCCTTCAATGGAATTAATGTCACAATATATTTAATCATTTGTCTATCTTATAAATATAAGTTATTTCCAGTATTTCAGTTATATAAAAAAATGGTAAAATTTGAAGTTCCAAGCAATGTGGTTGCAGAATTAAAATAGATATAAATCCAAGTCTCTTGCACATATATAACCATATGACTTTCCAATTTTAAGCCATTTTATGTGGCATTAACAAGGCATTGTTATGTTACTTCTCCCATATGTCTAATATGATCTTATTAGTTCATACTAGATACATTAATTACCTACTAAGTGACTGATGCACAAAAGAACATAACATATTTGACCGGCTTAAAATTTTTATAGGAGCAAAAATTTATCTTTTACAATTAAAAAAATTGTGACAACTCAAAAGATTGAACATAATTTTAATATTTACTTATTCATGTAATTGAATTCAAAATTTTAAACTTTATGCTTTATTAACTTTATTAAAAGTTTAAAAATTTAACTCTTCTATCTCAAAAAGTTTTGGCTCTTATTTAACATTCAGGCTACTTTTTCTATTCAGAACTTTGAAATGCATATGAGTGTAAATCAAAATGATTATGACCAGGGTTTAAGTTCATACATGCACTGGTTTATTCCAAACAAAACATGTTTAACTCTGTCACTGTTATGTATGAATGGCTGCAGACAAGTTATCTGAGTAAATATACTTCTGTTTGTCTCATTTTTAAATGTTCAGGTAATAATGTTTAATCAGCGTAGGCTATCAAGTGATAGTCTTCAACTTGTAAAACTCAGAAATATTTCCTCCTTACTTATTCCACTATTCAATCCACTTGAAATATTGTGTAAATATAATTTTAAATATTTTAACAACTTTTCTGAAATGTTTACTTCACTTAGCTATTACTTTAATAGGTCTATGGAATCACTATAACAACAGTTATTTTTATTTCTAATTGTGTTGTTATAGTGATTTTTTTCCCTCTTAATTCATTTTTTGTAAATTTGTATTTATGTATTTATGCTAGGTAAATAATATTGCAATTACTGTTTGCTGCAGTACTTTGGACAGTAGATCGATTCTTTGGTATATAAGGCAAGTTTATTATCTTCTATTCTTTTTTTCACACATGGGTTTTTAACATCTTCATCCATTCCAATAAACATTGTTTGTTTTTGAGAAGAAGCAGTCATGAAATATTTATACATTAATTTGCACACCTTAGTCCTGAAACTGATACGAATTAATTTGAGAAATGTTACAGTATTTAAGAATACAAAGTTTGTTTTCAACAATAAAATAAAAAATTGTGCTGCTTGTACCAAGTCATCTGTTGTTAATTCTCTTCATTAAAGTAATTCACAATCTAAATAGACTTACTGTTTAATTGTACATCTGTATCATTAGTATAAACTGGATTCATTTTATATTTGTGTTTCACATACATAGCATCTTTTCACAGTGTCTTAATTTATGGGAATCCCCACATCACTATTGTTGTTGTGAGGCACCAGTGAGTTAGTTACCACTCACAGTGACTCTATGCACAACAGAGTGAAGCACTACCTGGTCCTGCACCAGTCTCACAATTGTTACACTTAAAACCATTGCTGCTGTGACTGTGACAATCCATCTTATTAGGGATCATCCTCGTTTGTGCTATCTCTCAATTTTAATAAACATGATGTTCTTCCCCAGGGACTGGCCCCTCCTGATAATATGTCTGAAGTATGAGAAACAAAGTCTTGCCATTCTTGCTTCTGAGGTGAATCCGTCAATACTTTGTGTGACACAGATTTGTTTGTTCTTATCCATGGTACACTTTCAATATTCTTCTCCAACACAATAAATCAAGTGAATCTGTTTTAAAATCTTCTTTATTCAATATTCTTCTCCAACACAATAAATCAAGTGAATCGGTTTTACAACTGAACAAAACACTATTCAGTTCTACACCATGCTCATAGTTTTTATGTTTGAGCACCTTGTTGCTCTTGGTGGATCAATTGATCTCATTGGGGATCTAGCTCTTGTTCACTGACCTCACATACATATGAGGCAATTGAAAATACCATGGTTTATCAAGATGTTATTGTTGTCCAGTTGTGAGAATTTTTGTTTTCTTTACATACAGCAATCTATACTGTAGGCTATGGGAATACCCACATTACTATTACTCCACCAAAGCAGATAAATGGAGCTGCAGGAAAATGCACTGGACATTTAAGGCTGGTTAGAACTGAAAGGTTGGCCATTCAAACTCAACAACCACTCCTCAAAAACTCTATGCTGTTGTTGTTAAGTGCCGTCGAGTCGATTCTGACCCATAGCGACCCTGTGTAGAGTTTCCAAGGAACAGCTGGTGAGCTTGAAGTTGGAATTAACTTGACAGCACTTACCCATAATGCTAAGCCATAATGCTTAAATTAAAAGTTTTAATATTTCATTCCAATATTTTACAATATATAACTCTTTATGAGTCAAGTTTATTGTTATTTATTCACCACACTAATCTCTTCTTCCTCCTCCTCTGTTCCCCTAAAAGGCTGTTGTTAGGTGTCACTGAGTCTGTTCTAAACCACAGAAATCTTGTGTATAATGTAACTAAACACTGTTCAGTTCTACACCATGCTCATAGTTTTTATGTTTGAGCACCTTGTTGCTCTTAGTGGATCAATCAATCTCATTGGGGATCTAGTTCTTGTTCACTTACCTTTCATTTCACCAAGATCCATATCCTTCTCTACCGATTGGTCCCTCCTGACAACATGTCCAAAGTACAAGAAAGAGTTAAACTATTGTCATCCTAGCTTGTAAGGTGCATTATAAATATATTCCTTCCCAGAAAGATATGTGCTTCTGGAAGTCCATGTTTTTTTCAATATTCTTGCCAACATCATCATTCAAATGCATCGATAGCTTCAAGGATCTCCCTTATTTATTGTGAACTTTCACATGCATATGAAGATATTGAAAATAGCATGGCTTGGGTCAGGGGCACCTTAGTCCTTAAACTTACATCTATGCCCTTGAATGCTTTAAAGTCTTGTGTAGATTTGTCTAATACAATATGTTATTTGATTTTTTGGCTACTCCTTCCATATGAGTGTTGCTTGTGGATCTAAGCAAAATAAAGTATTTGACAACTCCCATCTTTACTCCATTTAGCTTTATGTTCTTTATTGGTCCACTTGTGAGGGTTTTTGTTTTCTTTACATGAAGGTACAATCCAACTGAAGACTGTTTGCTTTGATCTTCAAAAGTAAATATTTTAAGTCCTCTTTGCTTCCCCCAAGCAAGGTTGTTTCACCTACATATCACAGATTGATAGTGAGTCTTCTTCCATTCTGGCACCAAGTTCTTCTTCATATAATCCAGTTTCTGAATTATTTGCTCACCATAGAGACTAAATAAGTATGGTGAAAGCATAGTACCCTGGTACAAACCCTTCCTGATTTTAAACCATTCCGTATTCCCTTGCTCCAACTAACAACTACTTCTTGGTCTATGTACAGTGTCCTCATCAGCACAGTTCATTGTTCTGGAATACCCATTCATTGCAATGTTACCCATAACTTTTTGAGATCCACAGAGTCAACAAATGTCTTTGGTACTAACTCTAAATTCCACATAAGTCTATGCTTTTTCTTTCCACATCTAAAACCTCCCTATGCAATGTGCTATTGTTTCCAGAGTAGTTTGAGCAGTTGACACCTCCATCTATTTTGTATAAAAATTCTCATAGATTTACATATTTACCATATCTGGTATTGCTCTGATAATAAGTATAAGCCAAACCTATTGTCAATAAAGAGTCCTGGTGTGGTGTTATAGATTCAGCAGTGGACCAATAAGTTGGTTTGAACCACAAGGTTGGCAGTTGAAACTCAGCAGGCTCCCCTTAGAAACCTTATACTGAGTTGCTAAGAGTCAGAAGTGACTCAACAGCACTTAACAACAGCAACAGCAACAATAAGGTTTTGGAGTCCTGGTGTGGTCCTGTATCAAAAGCACACAACTGCTGACAACAGTTTGGCAGTTCTAAACCACCTCTCACTGCTTAGAAACCTGGTATGTGGTCAACAACAATAACAACAGAGAAGTTTTAGATGTCAAAAAGAAAAGCATAGACTCTTGGTGAAGTTTTAGTGGGGCCTTTGGGGAAACAGGGAAGAAGGAAAAAGCAACTTTGGTGATGGATAAAGAGAAATAAACTCTATGCATCGTATTTTGATATATTGATTATAAATATTAATATATTTTAATTAAATATTATAAACTGTTTATCATGATCATTTTATAGAAATTGGATTTATATCATTTATAGAAATTTGAGTGTTGATTTTAATTGCTTTATGTCTTGGTTATAACAGGGTGTTGTTATTGCTGCTGTGAAGTGCCACTGAGTTGGTTCCAACCCACAGCAACCCTGTATAGGGTTTCCAAGGAGCA